TTCAGATATTTGAGATATTTGAGATATTTCAGATATTTGAGATATTTGAGATATTTCAGATATTTGAGATATTTGAGATATTTCAGATATTTGAGATATTTCAGATATTTCAGATATTTCAGATATTTGAGATATTTTAGATCGAGGGAGGTAGGGGTCGCCTGGTGTCAGAGGTAACATTTGCATGAAACTGCCCGCCAAAATCTGGTATCTTCTATAGCTTGAGAGTAATTAAAAACTGGCAAAGTACATAATATTTTAAGCGATTGATCAATATTTCTTTAAAAATAAAATTCCCTTAGCAATATGTTTGTATATGTACAATAAATGTGTTTAGCCAAAAAAGACAATTTCGATAAATGAAGGAAACAGACCTGGTTTTTTTTCAATTTCTTTATTGTGACGAGCGCCTGATTTCACCACGACGCCTGACAAATAAAAGTAGTTAGTCGTTGAGGTCTCTGGCCATCGATCCATCCATCCATCTATTCACTCCGCGGGGAACAGCCAGTTGTTCATTGAAACACTTCAATAGCCAGCCTCTATTTCTGTCATTTCATTCAGGTCCACGGAGTTTCCATCTTGTCGGATTTCCTGCTCAACTTTGTGCACTTTGGGTTGGGTTAAAGGGAAGCCCATGAGCGTCTTACACACAAGAAAACTCCGAGTGTCACGCTGGTACAGAAAGTCTGCTTGATGGTTTTTTTTTCCTGGAAAGTGTTTTACGGCGCTCGCAACTGCATTAGGCCATATGAGCGTGCAGGACACACTAAATATTTTCAGTTGGTAGATAGGAAATTTTGAATTTTGCCCGGGTGGCGGCCGAAGCCTACTCTTATCGATTTCAGACCACCAAGGGATCTTTAACGTGCGCAATTTGCACACAGGGTCTCCGAGATGTTCGGCCCATGTCCTAGAAGGCTAGGTGTAGATCTTTCCTACCATTAGATCAGCAGTAAGGAGGAGCCAATGAGAAGCAGTAGAAAGGCTGTAGAAAGAGTTAGGAGCCCAGAGGAGGAGCAAAGGAGGTGATGAGGGGATGGCGGCAGAAAGAGGAGACGAAAGCAGACGACAGAACATTGCTAGAGAGCTGGAAAGAAGGTGAAAAGAGACAATTTTAGAGAAAAAAAAGCTGTCCGTCGCAACCCGGATTCGCACCTGAGACCTTTAAATGAGAGGTGAACAGCTTAACCACTAGAGCCCCCCGCAGCTCTTCGTTGACACTATGCGTGTGTGTGTGTGTGTGTGTGTGTGTGTGTGTGTGTGTGTGTA